CCCCAAAACCCCAAAACCCCATGTTTCTTTTTTAATTTTAGATGATAAGTGAGGTGATATTATCTATTATAATTTTTATGTTAATTTTAAAATTTAATAAAAACAATTTCGCCCACCATAATGGTAAGTTAGTGTCTTAAAAATATGAAAATAAATATCAGTATTAGTACTTTCATGTCTCAAGAATGAGCTTGAATATTTTCCAGATTCATTTAAATGCATTATTTTCATGATTTATTGAAAATAGTTGAAATTACTTGAGATAAGCCAATATTCATTTAAAATGGTTTCTATTTAAATCATCTTTATCAAATTTGCGAATAATATGTTCATAAGTCTCGTTTTTAATATTTTTTCTCAATAAATTGCCTCCTTTTTCCCATTATTTTTATGTTTTAAAACAAATAATTTCTTTATTTTGGCAATAATCTACCTTTTGAGTATTATGCTTAAATATTGATATCAATATATTAGAATCCTTTTAGAAATTTATGATGTAATTATCGATTCGCTGAAACATGCAATTCATTTATCATTATCAAGTTTAGAGTTTCTAATTTTGTAGTTCTGATTACTATATATTAAAATGATATTGAGGAATTATGTCTAATATTTAATCCTTATCAAGACTATATGTTAATTCTATGACTTCTTCTTTTCAAGAAATAGCTATAATTTTTTTTACGATTAGGTTTTAGACTCTAAATATTTCTGAATCAATTGTATTTATGTCTAAAATTTGCTCTCTAAATCAAGGAAAATTAATTAATTTTTTTAATAGAATATCCTTAAGACTTATTATATAAATTTAATTATTTAAAAATATGGAAATTAACATTGATTATATTTCTAATGATAAAATTGCAGCATCGTGCGAAGATGGTGAAGCTTTGAATCAGCTAACATAAAGCAGAAAAGTTCTTCTCTATAAAAAAAGGACTTAGAAAAGATTGAAATAATTATAAAATTGGGGTTACGAAAGCTCTAGCAACCAGTGACTTAAATCAGAAATCTCAAGATCATAAAGATAGTAATCTGAAATGAATTCGAATTATCAATAAATTTAAGCTCTTATTGAAGAAGTCAATAATGAAATAGAGGGATTTCATGAAAGTGATTAGCTAAGGAGATAATAAAGATAAATTGTTTCCTAGAATTATAAGACAAGAAAATTATATAATAATAGTTAGGGATTTCATCAAACATAAGCAAGCAAAATTTTAAATCATAAGAATTAGGACCAATATTCAGTAACTATCAATGAAAATTGCTTAAATAAATTATAAAACCCTCAGAAAATTAGTAATGATGATAATTTATCAAATGAAACTTATAATAATCTTGATTAATTTTCAGGCAATCATTTGGAACCATTAGATGCAATTTAAGAAGAAAATGAAAATTATCCTTAAATTTTTGGTAAAAAAAGGATGAAACCAATTGAGGAGAACAAATTTGACCATTCCTGTAATTACAAGAAATCATAATTCAAAACCTCAATCTTAAATATTAATGAAATGTACTCTCCTGAAAAAGATAATGATTCTTAAGATCTCATAATGAAAGATTATTAAATTCTAAAACAAGAGAATTCAGTAAGGAGGAATAACTGATTTAATGTTTCTAGCAATTAAGTGGTCAAGTAGCAAGAAGAGAGTAAAATTATTTTAAAATCAGAAGAAGACAAGATAAATATTAATAGCAAAGTTGAATATTTTACTCTTAACGGGCAAGCGAATTGTCCAAAATGCAAGATAGAAATTGAGAAAATTGATAAGAGTAATCACATGATTTGCTAGAATTGCAAATATGAATTCTGCTGGAATTGCGGATTGAAAGTTCATCACTTCATACATGCAGAGTGGATGTTCTTTATAAGATGTTAGCAAACTATAAATGTTAAACCAAATTTATGGAGATCATGCGCCTACTACTTCCTTACTCTAATCCTTATGCCATTTATACTCTTTTTTGCTTCATTCATTATGTTTTGTGCTGGAGGAATTCTGATAACTTTAAAAGGGTACTAAATTTCTGTGAAGGTTTTGCGAGAAGAAGAGAAAATGGTAAAAGTTTTCTATATGATTTTATTAATTCCATCACTGACATTCTCTTATTTTGCTGCTGTTATAGCAGGATTACTAATTTCACCTTTGGTTACTGCTATTGGATTAGTCCCTGCTTAATTCATTTACTTTTACCTTTTTATAAAGATGTCATTATGGCGTTCAAAGTTGAAATTTGATCAAGATTAAACAAAAGATGCTGATAAATGATTTAATTTACATTATTTAATAATACAATTCAATTTTATTAGTATTGTTATTAATATCAATCTCTATTTATTTTGATAAATGGGGTTTTGGGGTTTTGGGGTTTTGGGG